GGTACCTATTTATCTACTTGCACTTTGATGTGCTTTCGAACTGCTAGGTTGGCAGGAGCAGGGACCGAGCAACGGGAGCTCACCCCGTCACGGGGATTCGAACCGTCGACCTTCTGATCGGCAAGTCCTAGGCTCTGTGGTTTAACCCACAGCGCCACCCGCGTCCCTAGACCCATTGAAAATAATGAACCTGAGTTGGTTACCGGTAACTTCAATGAGTCTACTCTGAGTTCCAGCACGGGCTACACCCTTTCTTTCCCCTTTCTTTCCTCGCTTCCGCTGGGCCTCAGAAGAGCAGAGAGTTAATCCGAAAGATTCCTTTCTCCCTATGAAACGCTGCTTCATTAAAGTGATTTGAAATGCGTGCTTCACAGACCTGGTTGACCTTTCCAGCTATTTGATCATTTTATTAATCCTAAAAGCTTGAAAGGATCAGTCCAGGGGAAACGGATCTCGAAATCAAAGACCGTTGCCAAAAGAAGGGGCCTGACCTTTTTCCGGGGTGGGCAGGAGAGTTTTGCAACCAAGAAAAATGCCACCTCTTTGGGGACATCGTTCATCTGCAGCCGCCTGAAGATCTCAGAGGAAGGCATGACGTTGGCCCCTGAAATAGCCTGAGGCAGGAGTTCACTCAGGCAATAATAGAATATTCTGTCTTTCCTGGTTGCAAGCGTCCCTCTGCCCCAGCCATAATAAAAGAGCTGCAACTGAGATACGACGAGTACTAAGCCTCACAGCAGAAATTAGTGGGCCGTGAAGAAGATAAAATTAAAGAATTCAATTAACAGAGCCAAATCTGGATAACTGCGGACTCATACGTGGGGGTGCCAACTTGAATAAAATATTAGGGGGGCCCAGGTATGCCCTGCACCACAAAACCGAGCACATACACCATCTGAATGGCAATGCCCATTAGCTTTGTGGGTGGGGGGCTGGCCCCCTCAAATATTTTATGGGAGGGAGGGCACTCAGTCCCTAGGACTTGGCTCCTATGCTCTCATGTTTCTGAAGGGAGAGCAGCCATGGCTTGTTTGTCCCAGAGTTATCTTTGTGGTAGGGATGAGGAACCTGTGGCCTTCTAGACCAGTGTTTCCCAACCTTTTTTGGGCAAAGGCACACTTGTTTCATGAAAAAAATCTCGAGGCACACCACCATTACAGCCCCGTGACGTCAGCGCGCAGCGTCACGCCGGGAGGGACGCACGAAAGTGTAAGATTCAATTTTTTTTCCTCCCCCTTGCCTTCCTTCTGTGCCAACCGCCAAAAAACCAAGAATCGCGGGACCGCCGGCGGAGGGGGGAGGGCGAGCGGAGGCAGCGGCGAGCCCCGTTCCTCCCCATCCGCCCCATTCCGTGCAAGGAGCGCGAACAGGTGTGAGAAGGGGGTCAAACCTGCGGGTCGGCGCCGGGGAACCTCCAAGCTTTGGGGGTGGGGGGGAGGAGGCAGCAAAGCGAGGCAGGAAGGAGAGCGCGGCTTGGCGAAGTACTCGGCGGCGAAGGCCAGCAGGTCCGGCGGCCGGTGCCGCAGCACCTCCACCGTGTAGCCCTGCAGCAGCTCAGTCAGACCCGGCGGGATCTCGATGCTCATCTTGTAGCCGAGGCGCGCGGGAGACTCAACGGACGGGCCCGGGAGAGAGAGAGAGAGAGAGACACGACGGAGAGAGAGCGGGAGTCCCTGCTCGCCGTCGCCACCGCTACAACTACTGTGGCGGTTGGTCGTGGTCGCCGCCGCCGCCGCCCACCTCTATCTATCTCTCCCCCTCAGCTTTCTACGCGGGCCTCGAGCCGGAGGTGGGGGGTGGCCGCCGCCGCTTTCTCCGCCTCCACGTCCTGCCTCCTCCTCCTCGAGCCCTCCGTCAGCCCTGAGGGAACCGCCGCGCTCGCGCCGCCGCTCTCTGACACGCGAGAAAGAGAAAGGAACGGAGCGGCGGGGTAGTCGGGGGAAGGAGGGGTCGGAATGGAAGCGCGAGGCGAGCTGCGCATGCCCCAAGACTAGTATGACTCTGAAGAGGGAGGAATGAAGTCACAGACAGAGCAGCCTTTAAGAGAGGAAGAAGGGGAAGATTTGCCCCCCACCCTCCTTCAACATTCCCAGAAGAGAGAGACCAGCAGATTCAGAGGCCATACAGTCAGGGAAAAGAGTTGGACAGTTTTGAGATAGTAGCTAGGCAACCAGGAGGGAGAGAGGGTTGTATTAGCCCTGTCCCTTTCTCTCTCAGTAACGGTTGTTCCACTGGGGCAACTACAACTGGGGTTTGAACCCTAACTGAAATGGATCTAGATATTTCATTATCCTCCAAGAAGCTTGAGGCTGAATTACTCTCTCAAACCACTACAGTAGCGATCGGCAAGTCCTAGGTGCTGAGGTTTTACCCACAGCGCCACCTGCGTCCCTCTTATTTATCATAATAGAGGCTTTTTTTCAGGGTCGGAAACAGCATAACTTCTTGAGTGTTCAGACCCCTGGGAACCCCTTGTGGGGTGCCTCAGGGTTCTGTCCACTCCCCCTTGCTTTTTAACATATGAAGCCGCTGGGAGAGATCATCAAAGGGTTTGGGCTGGGTGTTCATCAGTATGCAGATGATACCCAGCTCTACCTCTCCTTTAAATCACAACCAGTGAAGACAGAGAAGGTCCTGTGTGAGTGTCTGGAGGTGGTTGGAGGATGGATGGCAGCTGATTGACTGAGGTTGAATCCTGACAAGACAGAAGTACGGTTTTGGGGGGACAGGGGATGGGCAGGTATGGAGGACTCCCTGGTCCTGAATGGGGTAACTGTGCCCCTGAAGGACCAGGTGCACAGCCTGGGAGTCATTTTGGACTCACAGCTGTCCGTGGAGGTGCAGGTAAATTCTGTGTCCAGGGCGGCTGTCTACCAGCTCCACCTGGTACACAGGCTGAGACCCTACCTGCCCGTAGACTGTCTTGCCAGAGTGGTGCATGCTCTAGTTATCCCCCACTTGGACTACTGCAATGCGCTCTGCATGGGGCTACCTTTGAAGGTGACCCAGAAACTACAACTAATCCAGAATGCAGCAGCTAGAGTAGTGACTGGGAGTGGCTGCAGAGACTATATAACACCGGTCCTCAAAGACCTACATTGGCTCCCAGTATGTTTCCAAGCACAATTCAAAGTGCTAGTGCTCACATTTGAAGCCCTAAACCAGAAGGAGCATCTCCACCCCCATCGTTCAGCCCGGACACTGAGGTCCAGCACCGAGGGCCTTCTGGCAGTTCCCTCCCTGCGAGAAATGAAGCTACAGGGAACCAGGCAGAGCCCAGTTACGTCACCCCCTGCCTGCAGAGCTGGCAGCTTCTCACCCTTTTTCAAACACCTTTCCTTGTGGAGTGTTCCCTCAGCCTCCTCTCCCCTCTCCTTGGGAGTCCTCTGGGCAGCTGCTGCTACCTTCCCTGGTCTCTGAGCTGCCTGCCCTCCCGCCGCCAAGAGAGGTGCCTCCTCATACTGCTCCACAGCGCCTGTTCATTCCCAACAACAAGCGTTGGTGGACTGGCTGGCTGGCTGGGCTCCCTCGTCCACTTGCTTGTTTATTCCAAGGCTGCCTCAGCTCCTGGCAACCAGCACCCCCGGACCAGCCCCGGAGCTGTTGCAACAAACAGCTGTGTAAGCCTTTGGGAGACAGAGACGCTGTTATGTCCTGAAGTTCTCACCCTGGGCCAGCAGGGGGATACTGTAGGTAATTTTCACTCAGGTCCACATATGCAAATAAGGAATTGAAAGTGACGTTCAGTGATTGGATAGTTACAGAAAGTGGTTACTGTTGCGTTGTAGTGGAGCTCTATATAAGCAGGCTGGCTGAACCCTTCAGCCCAGTTCTGTTCTGGGCCTGTGAATAAACAAGAGCTGTTTGAAGAATCGCTGTGTCGTCTGATATGTTCACCCACAACTTAACACTGGCGACACGCGAAAGGGCATCAGGGGAGGGAGGGAAGGAAAGAGGGACAGAGGCCAGTGTTGCCCACAGCACCCCTGACCGTCATTCAAGGCACCCCAGGGTGCCACGGCACAGGGGTTGAAAACCGCTGCTGCAATCAGTTGGACCACTGCAAGCACTTTGTCTATGTTCTCAGGCCACATAAATGCTCTGTTATGAGATGCTTTGGCCCATGTGGGAGGCTCCCATACTGTGGCTTGTCCCCGTGAATTAATCTATGGGACTGCAATAATAACACTCTTGCTATTTTGGTTGTACCTACATCCAGGCCATTTTTCGGTTCTTTCCTCCTTGCTTCTCGCAAACAGAGCTGCAGTTTCTCTAGATGCATTATTCACCTCCAGTTATTGGAATGGGCTGCACACCCCCCCCCCTTTCTTTTGGTCTTGATGTATAAACTTTGCCTAACAACAGCGGAGGCTTATATTACTGGAATATCTCTCTCTTGATTATTTATTATTTAGACTAATTTGGTTCCAGTGTCTCACCAGTGCAAGCAAATTAAAGAGAAAATCCGTCTCCAAAGCGATTTCCTTCCTTCCTTTGCTCAGATAAGAGATCTTACCCAACGGCTCCGCCGTCGAGGTTTCGGTTGTGTGTGCAAATGTACCAAAACGCAGCGGCTAGCTTGATCAATAGTTCAAAAAGCAGGGGATTATTGTATGAAAATTTTTTCCCCATCGGTTGACAGTCATATTTAAAACATAACTCAGATGCATATGGTGAGAGCGACACAGAGGGATTTAGTAATTCATTCATCCCTCTTACCATTCCAAGGTTTCGCTTATCCCAACAACAATATTTACTCAGGCAGATAATAAGGCTTCAATGTAAGTTGACTTTATTACCTTCAGTGACGTGAAAGGATCGGTTGCCGGGTGACCTTGCATCTAGTTGTTGTTTTTTTTAATTATCCTAGGCATATAATATCTATATAATCTAGAATAGCTCTGAGAGCAGAGAGGAGGAGCTAACCTGTTGAATTACTTCTGATTTGGGAAGTTGCCCTCCAGAAAAAAAACACAGAATCTGATTTTTATTGTTGTTTTGTTTTTTAAAAAGCCAGTCTGCAGAATAAGATCAGAGAGGGGTTTGTGCAGGCAACAAGATCAATCCACCTCTGAGAGGGAAATACATACTCTCTCCCCTGCTCACATGTTGCGTGCTCCTTAACAAACCTATGAAGCGTGATTTGAAAATCTAGGATTAGACCAAGAGGACTTTAGGAGGAGGGAAAGAAACCACCACAACAGCCCTCTGAGCTACTTAACAGAAGTAGCTCAGTTCAACTGTCCTACTCTGCTGGAGAAGCACTTATTTTGTCTCCTGGGGGGGCCCACTTTGATGTTTACACTGGAAATCCAAGCTTTTAAAATCAAGAGAGCATGGAGGAAAAGGAAGACACCGGAGCTATGGAAAACAGAAACGTTCTCAATGGCCCTCTGTACAAGGTGGGGGAAATTATGCATTTATTTCTTTTAATTTGGCAACAGAAGACTTCAGATAAGGACAGGAGGGGGCAGTGAGGGGGGGGGGCTGGAGCCTGCCTGCTCAAAATTGTGTACAAAGTCAGGGAGGTGAGGAACAAAAGAGGGGGACCAAGGAATGTTGAGTTGGGAATGCTCTGAGAGGTAAACAGCAGAGTTTTGTTTTATTTGCTGTACTCTAAACTATATTTTTTTAAAAAACGTACACTTTGGAAGCAAGCCGTTCAATCAGAGCCGGGCAGTCTGACAGCGTATATACAACCTCTGAACAAAATGGTGTAAACAGTGCTATTTTAAATAAAAATAAAAACCCACAGAGTAATAAAACTTTAGAAGGCAGGGGAAACTGTAAAAGTGAATGCTGAAGTTGCCGTCACATTTGTGGCAGGCTTATCTTGGAAGAAGGAGCAATATTTCTGTAATTGTGGGTTTGGGTGATTTCTTTAGAATTTTCTTCAGAATTTATGTACTATTTTGTTGCAGTTCAGCCCCGCCCACCAAATCATTTGATGTAAAACTGAAGTTCTAACCCCACAGTCAATTTTAAGGATCAAATAAATGCCCTGGAGCTTCAAGTAACTCTGAGATTTATATCTCATTGTTTGATTGTACGAAGAGACTGTGACAGAGAAGTGGGATATTCGCCCGAATCCAAACCTTAAACAAAACTTTAACAAAACCGTTTTTAGGTGTTGTTTTTCTTTTAGTCCTAAACTTTGTTCCCCTGTATCTCAGGGTAGTAAAATAGTCTTAAGAACCGAATAAAGGGTGTGGTGTCAGAAAAAAACAATATACTTCCCCAGATCCATGGGGCAATTCTTATAACCACATGTTTACTCTCATTTACCTTCGCTCAGATCAGAAAAAACATCCTAGTGGTAAAAATGAATAGATTTATTGGGGTGGTGGTGTTGTCTCAGGTGCTTTGTGAACATTTTGTTTCTGTGTAAGTCAGGGGTCAGCAACCTTTTTTAGCCGTGGGCCGGTCCACTGTCCCTCAGACCATGTGAGGGGCCGGACTATTTTTTTTTTTGGGGGGGGAGAACAAATTCCTATGCCCCACAAATAAGCCAGAGATGCATTTAAAATAAAAGCACACATTCTACTCATGTAAAAACGCCAGGCAGGCCCCACAAATAAGCCAGAGATGCATGTTAAATAAAGGATACATTCTACTCATGTAAAAACACGCCGATTCCCAGACTGTCCATGGGCCGGATTTAGAAGGCGATTGGGCCAGATCCGGTCCCTGGGCCTTAGTTTGCCTACCTCTGGTATAAGTGGATGAACTTAAGGGGCACTGTTTACTCTTCTTGTGCAAGCGACAATTTCCTATGCGTGTCTCTCTCTCCGTGTAATTTCATCCCTGAAAGTCTGTTAGCAAACCTCTTTCTCTGAGGGTAATCCCAATGACGTCGGCGAAACTACTTCAGAGTTAGAGGGTTTGAAGACACCGGATTAAGGAACCATAATCAGGAGGGCAGCTGGATTGTACCTGTTTATTCAACGGTTTCTTTGTGTGTGCGTCGCCCTGGGTTGTGTAACTAGAATTGCCACCTGCCTGGTTGTAAAACTGCAAGTAGCCGTTCAAAATGTGCATGTGAGTTCGGCGATGTTGGATCTCAAAAGAATTAGTGACCGGCTCTTCCTTGTACGTACCTTTGGGAGAGATGGTCAGCCTGGCGTTCTGTGTTTCTGCCAAATCCTTTTTCTGTGCTTGGCTGTGCTCCTAATCTAATCCGGCTGCTTATAACAGCCGTGTCCTCAGCTCACCTTTGAGTGGCAATTTTGACAGCTAGTTAAAAAGAGAAACACGCCAAAAGGTGGCGTGTGAAAAGAACCCCTCCCCGAATTATTTCCTATGTGAGAGACAATTGACAAATTGCCAGTTTGGGACAGGTTAAAGTGTTTCTGTTAATCTCATCCTGTTACATGACTTGAAAAGACTGAGCTTGCAAGAACGTATGCTCTTGTCCAGGGTTTTTCCCCCCCTTGTTCCCCTGTAAAATAATAATCATAATAGCCACAATAGATTTATTGCTGAATGAAATGCTATAACTGCAAAGATGTGGGGCTAGTTATGCATTGCTCCCCCAGGTATAGCAGTTCAATAATACAGTGGTACCTCAGGTTACAGACGCTTCAGCGCTTCAGGTTACAGACTCCGTTAACCCAGAAATAATACCTCAGGTTAAGAACTTTGCTTCAGGGTGAGAACAGATATTGCGTGGCGGCGATGTGGCGGCAGCAGGAGGCCCCATTAACTAAAGTGGTACCTCAGGTTAAGAACAGTTTCAGGTTAAGAACGGACCTCCAGAATGAATTAAGTCCTTAACCTGAGGTACCACTGTACTTTGTGTGTTGTACTTCTTGGAATTAAAACTTGTGTTTCCTGAAGACAGCACTAGAAACAATGTTTATTTCCTCTTGGGTAACCAAGTTTTTCTCTCATATGCAATGTGATCCAGCATCCACAACTTGAACATAATGGCTAAGGGTGATCAAGGCTCTGGCTTCAGATGACGCCTCAGCCGTGAACTTGGCGAGGGGCTGTAATTATAGGCGCATTTAGGACTCCACATTTCTTATTGCCCCATGCTTTCTAGGGTCTGGGCGGTTTTGACTTTGCTCATTGCTTTCCCCCAGAAAACCCAATTGCTATTTGTTCCGATTCAGTGCTAAACTGCAGGTTTGCCCAGGGGAAAACAGCAGGGCAAATGGAAGTATTAAAGAGCCAGTGTGGTGTAGTGGTTAAGAGTGGTAGACTTATAATCTGGTGAACGGGGTTCGCTTCCCCGCTCCTCCACATGCAGCTGCTGGGTGACCTTGGGCCAGTCACACTTCTCTGAAGTCTCTCAGCCTCACTCGCCTCACAGAGTGTTTGTTGTGGGGGAGGAAGGGAAAGGAGATTGTTAGCCGCTTTGAGACTCCTGAAGGGGAGCGAAAGGCGGGATATCAAATCCAAACTCTTCTTCTTCTCTTCTAAACTGGGAGGACAATGATTACGGGATGAATTTGTCAATTCTCCCACTGACAGCCTAAGACCTTCCTATCCAGACCGGCCTTTGAAAACAAAGGTGAAGACGATGCTGTCAACTTGGCTGCTGTCAAGCCAAACTATGTTAATTGCTGCTTCGAAATGAGCTTTGACGTATTTTAATTATTGTTTTTAACTAGTTTGTTTCTACTACCTTGCATTTTATAATGTTGCTCTTAAACGTTGCCAGCCGCTTTGAATCCCAGCTTCGGTGAAAGGTGGGCTACAAATACGTTTTAAAGTAATAATTTAAGTTTCTCTCATTTTCTATATTTTTACAATCTTTAGTTTGGTTCTCTCTATCAGTTAGCATTCCCCTCACCCCCAAGTCCTCAGGAAAATTCATTAGCATTTAATTCCACATTTCCCCTTTAACATACATGTTTTCACAAGCTATTTCCCCAAATATAATCCATTCATTGGGGCTACTGTGTCAATAGGCTTCAGTTTGCGCTCTCGGTTGATTCGGACAAGCCGTTGTTCTTCTAGCCATTACTACTGCATAGAGGGCCAACAGTTTAGATTCTGATCAGGGTTTAAATTAGGGTGCGGTTGCAGGTGTGTGCTTGGACATGTGCGAAAGAGAGAGATTTCAGATTGGGGGAGGCACAATTCAAGGTTCAAAGCGTTAACATATTCTGCCCTGCTGGCTGAAACTAGTGGAAGCAGAACTTCATCTTCATAAATACTGAAGGCGCTTGTAGATTGTTTAGATAAGAGGGTTAGTGATTAACCTCCTGAAATATCTGATCCTGAAGAATAACAAACAAAATGCAGTTCCATTTCCATGGCTTACTGGAGAATTAATGGTTTAGATGTCCAACTGCGATGTTTTGATATGGATTTCAAAGCAGACACCTCCCCCAACACCCTCTCCCACCCATGATTGACACCTTAGCACAGGGACAGTCAACGTGGAGCTCTCCAGTGTTGCTGGACTGCCACTATCAGCATCCCTAACCCTTGGCCGTGCTATCTAGGGATGATGGGAGCTGTAGTCAACAACACCTAGAGTGCACCCCCTTGGCTATCCCTGCCTTAGAACTTGATGGGGCCTACTGAACAGCTCAGGACTGCAATACCTCAAAGATTTCCTCTTTCCATATGAACGCTGAGATCATCTTATGAGGCCCTTCTTCGTGTGCCTCTTCTTCCATGTGAGGTCCGGAGGGTGGCAACACGAGAACAGGGCCTTCTCAGCAGTGGCTCCCCATCTGTGGAATGCTCTCCCCAGGGAAGTTCGCCTGGCGCCCTCATTAGACACCTTTAGACGCCAGGCAAAAATGTTCCTCTTCAACCAGGCCTGTGGCTGATTGACATCCGATGCCCTTTTAAAATGTGTTGGGGGTGTGTGTGGAATATTGGGTTGCCCTTGTTTTTCTTTTTATTGTGCATTTTGTGTTTTTATATTGTGATTTTATGTTGTGAACCGCCCTGAGACCTGTGGGTATAGGGCAGTATATAAATTTATCAATCAATCAATCAATCAATCAATCAATCAGTCAGTTAATAATATTGAAAACCATGCCAATCCCTCTTTGTACAGCCCTATCCAATATTCTGCCTCTCTCGGTCACGCAACAGTAAAATGGAACATTTTACACAGTTCACCTCCACAATGTTTCACAACACCTTTCATCCGGGTTAATGTCCAACTCCTCCTCAGGTACTTTTATCAAGGTTTTCAATCTTTTTCGTTGATTTGGTTCTTAATTTGACAATGCTGAATGGCACCTATTAAACAGAGCTTGCAAAACAGAGCTTTTCATAGCTTGCTGTGTACGTTGCTCATTTCCGTAAGGGTCGTGTTTTCTCATGAACGTCTTAGGCCTGGTTTGGATAAAATGTTAAACCATTATTTAGCATTACAGGAATGAACCTGCTTGAACCCTAGATGCAAGGGCTGTCTTCCCTTAATCCAGGCATA